GGGTTTGGGGGCTTAGGATTTCGGGTTTCAAGGTTTGGGCTTGTCAGAACTCCTGGATGTTGGGGCTTGGAGCTGTAAATTCTAGGATGTTGGGTCCTGCTTGGGGGGGGTGGGTCCGAATATTTCCGGGGAAATTACAGGCTTCAAAAACTCTTAACTCTAAACCCTAACCTTTGGGAGAATACAGGGACGTTAGAGCTTTCAGCGCTGCTCTAAATGCTTGGTAGGTTAATGCAACTTAGGATTTAGGGTTTGCCTTTGCTGTAGGCAAGACTTGCGGTTTGCTGTCTAACGGCCTAAGCATTAGGTGAATGGTACCTACGTGGCATGAGCTAGGTACCGTCTGGGAAGATTGGCAGCCCTGATCCCATGCATGAACTGCAACATATCACCAGCCACCTCCCCAAACGCCGAACATCCAAGAAAGACTTTTCATCTCTTAGCTAAGGATTGCTCGAAATGCTTCACAAGCAAAACTGGCGAGCTTGGACGTTTGAAAATGCTGCTCTGAGCTGCAAGCCGCCTCAATGACACGGCATTTAGGTTTGCAAGCTTGTATAGGGTTTAAAGTTTGAGGATTTGGGTTTAGGGCTTCTTGAGTGTACCCCCTGGAACTCAAGGCAGATTGGTATTGCTTGCGCTGGTCGGAGGGGCGTCCGCTAATTTTTGGAAGTTGTCCGCATGCAGGCGTTTAGTTTGAAGAAGGTCTGTGCTGCTAGCGGCCATAACATGGACCTTACCCATACGATGTATGTCTTAGCCATAAACCCTTAACTTAACCCTTAACCCTAGCCTTCGAACCCTAAACCCCCTAATGGGGATGGAGGGTTAGTTCATTCCCTGCAGCCATTCATTCTTTCCCTCTACCCTTGCTGACAAGGCTTACAATCTACCTGAGAGACTGCCGCAATAGACCCTAGTGCATGCTCAACCCTGCGTCGAGCGGCGTCTCAATTCCACAGGACAGTCTGGAATCGCATTAACATCGCCGCTGTTCTCGATGGCAAGGAAGCCTTCAGCTTTTGGATTGAGGGCTTAGGGTTTAGGGCTTAGAGATGAAGGTCTAGGGCCAGAAGGCTGGGATTATTGAACCAATAATATGGAGAAGTTAAAGGAAAACATGGAACACGAAATGGACACTGGAGTTATACTGTAACGAAGGAGTGCATCTTTCATCCTCTTAAGGGGTCCTAATAGGCTTTGAGGTATATTAGTCAATGAGAAAGGGTATGGATCTCCATAGATAGGAGTCTTCTGGGTCGCTGACTTAAATCAAGTTACTGTACTATGTGTATATATATATAGATATAGTAAATATTAGGGTCTACCCAAAGTAGTAACCCCAAACCCTAAAATCAAAGCCCTAAATTATACCCCAGTATAATAGTTTAAATCAAGTTCCTTAACAGCAAACAAATCTTCTACTCCGCCTATTATATGAGCTATAGTCAAAACTCCTAGTATCCCCCTTAACAGGCTCCATAGTAGTCCCCAAATGTCAATACATAATCCCCTATATAGCCCCTTTTAAGGGGGCTTAGCCCCTAACCCCCCAATCCCTAGATCCTAAACCCTAAACCCTAAATCCTAAACCCTGAACCCTGAAATCCTAAACCCTATACCCTATAGAGCCTTGAAAGAGTTTAGACTCTAGCTTATATGAACTCAGTTCAGATGTAGGGGCCCTGCCTGCGTTAGTTTGATGTGTTTTGGTTTAGGGCTCAGGGTTTAGGGTTGAGAGTTTACGGTTCAAGGTTCAGGGTTGGGGGTTTAGGGTTTACGGTTGACAGTTTAGGGTTTAGAGTTTTTGTTCAGGGTCCAGGGTTTAGGGTTGAGGGTGTAGGGTTCAGGGTAATAGATTGGGGGACCCTATGAACACTTAAGACACCCCTGGTTAGCAGGGAATGAGCGACTTGAAAACACTACGCAAACTACTGAGCTGTTGGGGGCTCCTGTAGACAGGAACCCTAGACCCTAAGCCCTAAACGCTAGACTTTCAACCCTAAACCCTAAACCCTAAATTCTTGACCGTGAACTATTCAGTCCTTCATTCCTGGAAGGCGGTATGTTTGGGACGGTATGTTCAGAGGCACATACCCAAATCACGCAAGCTTAATGGGCAGTAACCCGACACTCTAACTGACACTGAGATAGGTTTTAGGATTTAGGGGAGGTATAGCTAGTGGTTCAGGCAATACAAGAAAAACCTTGCTTGTAGAGCCATACTGAACCTTAATGAAAAAATCTACCTTAAATCATGATGTGCCCTACACCCTAAGCCTTGACTCGTAATGCCCAGCACGCTAAACCCTATTCCCGAAACCCTAAAAGGTAGTTTCCAGCTTATTTTCCCTTATCCCCTAAATACCCCCAAAATAACCCCCATATAGCCCAAAATCCCAATATGACCCCAAGATAGGGTGTCATTGGGCCCTCTGAATTGTTGCACACAGGGGGTTTGGAAAGCGCGCTGACCGCGGCTCCTTGTATGCCGCCTCCATGTGTACAGGCCCTCCATGTAGAAAACTGACTATAAAGCCCTGAACCCTAAACCCTAAAATCTAAACTCTACCAACCTCAAAAATACCTGAACGTTCTAGGGTGTGGGGTTGGAGGTTCAGGGCTTAAGTCCTAGCCCCAAGCGCAAAACTGCGTCCTCTTTCTTAGGAGACAATGAATAACTCTAGCATGTACAGGCAGTACGTATCCCTCCTCGCGCCTGCTGACATGGTTAAATCAAGTGAAGTGTTCAGGGTTAACCTGCAACCCCAATAACCTACAGTGGTTATAGGTTATACCTACTAATAATAAAGGGGTACTTACTACTAAACTGTAGGTTATTGGAGCCACAGGAAGGGTTTCAAGGGCTTAGTGTGTCTGCGGCGCAGGGTTGGCTCAGGGACCGTACCTGCAAAATCCAAAACCTGAAACAAAACCCTCCCTAAGGGTCCAAGGACCCAAATAATAGGGTTCCTTTAAAGGTGGATATAGGGGGATATATAGGGATATTAGGGGACTATATGAATAAGGGTCCAAGGACTCAAATAATGGGGCTTTAGAGCCCAAATACCATTGATATTATAATATTTGGGCCCTAAAACCCTATTATTTGGGTCCTTGGACCCTTAGGGCCTGGTACAGATTTAGGGTTTAGGTTTCCGGGTTTTTTAACGGTCTCCCGACATGGAAACCCCACATATACAAGCACCAATACTCTTGAAGAACCATGCATGCATTCACCAGAAGCCGTGATAAGACCTACCTCCTGGAATCCAGCCTAGGGTTTAGGGTTGAGGGCTTAGGCTTAGGCAGAAACAGACACCCTGCATCCCACACCGAAGGCACGAAACCCTGAACCAGGACCCATGCGGATAAAAGCCAGGAAGCGGCAGTAGTCGGTCACAAGCTGCATTAGGATCACGCCAAAGGAGTAGAAAAGGAGAACCAGAAGGACCAGGGTCCACCTCATTAGATTGAAGGGTTTAGGGGCTGAATGGTT